TACAGGGAAAAAATCAGGAGAAAACAATGATTCATAAGACTGTTAGGGTTTTCAGCCCCTTGTCTGAGGATGTTTCCTTAGCAATACTCATCATATAAACTACAGCAAATATTTAAGTATTTCTTCATTTGTTCTTTAGGGATCTTGGTACAATAGTCTACACTGCCTATACTAAAGCTATATTGTCTGAATGAGAGCAAAGTGGCCTTGAGTGTAGCTGAGGTGATTTTAGGGAAGTTCAAATCAACCAGAAAAAGCTCCACAATCCCTATTGTGATTCATTATTCTATGTCACCATGATCTGGTAACATTTACAAAGACAATTAACATTGGAATAGTTTGTTCCCATGATGGGACTATTCATATGAGTTAAAGAGAAGTCATAGTGAAGTGATATGCTGGTCTGAATATTTCAAAATATCACTACTTATGCAAATGAAATAGAGTTTAGCACTGGATGTGTCACAATTTTCAGTGATTTATAGTTGTTAAAGGGTTGAAACAGCCTTTTTTTCTGCACAGAAAAAACAATTTAAATATGGGTATAAGTTTTTAAATCTAACAGCCAGTCAAACAATACACTAATTATTCTCTAAAACATGGCATATATGAAGCAAATAATTCCATAATATATAATATACTAACATTCCTAATCCTTGGTCTCTTTTCAGAGGCGTTCAAGCTGTGACTTGTCCAGGCCAGACAGTCCCCTATCTAATAACAGACTGGAATTGCAAACAATCTTTGCTACTGTGGAATTAAAAAAATTTTTGAAAACATAGGGAACTGTTCCCACCATTATTGTAGCTTTTGTTTAATAACTGTATCATAGGGTATTGCTTTGTATTTGTATTTGCTTTGTGCAAGGTTTTGTTGGCAGAGGAGGTTAGAGGGTGGCTTCTGTGAGAAGCTACTAAAAGCTTGCCCCACTGCTGGCTCCAAGGCAGACCCGCTGCTGGCCAAGAGTGAGCAGTCAGTGACAGTGGTAGTACCTCTGGGATAATGTATTTAAGAAGGTGAAAAACATTATTGCACAGATACATCTGTGGCCAAAGAAGAGAGTGAGAATATGTAAGAACAAACCTGCAGACTTTCAAGAAGCAGATATTCACCTGCAGCCCACAGGAACCCCATACTAGGGGAGGCTTCTGTAAGGACACATGGCCCTGTGGAGAGGGGAGCACACACTGGAACAGGTTTGCTGTCAGGACTTGTGGTGTCATAGGGGACCCAGGCTGGAGCAGCTGTTTACTGAAGAACTGCACCTCATGGTAAAAAAGGGACCCCACACCGGGGAAAAGGATGGACTCCTCTTCCTGAGGAGGAAGGAGCAGCAGAAACAAGATAAATAGATTTTAACCCCCATTCCCCATCTCTCTGCACTCCTGGGTAGGAGGAGGTAGAGAAACAGTGCTAAACTTGGGCCTAGGAAGGAGGGAAGGTGAGGGGGTAAGGTATTTAAGATTTTTTTTTATTATTATTTCTCATTATCCTACTCTGATTTTGATTGCTAAAATTTCAAGTAACTTCCTCAGGTGTGTCTTTTTGATTTTACCTGTGATGCCTGGTAATCACTAAGGGATCTCTCTCTGTTTGTATCTCAACTCATCTCTCCACTGGCCAGCTGGAGGAGAGAGAGAATGGTTTTGGTGAACTCTTGGGATCTAGCAAATCTCAATCACCATATACCTAAAAGTTTAAGATTTGGTCATCAGTGTATGAAGAACATGGTGTCTATGAAAAGCCCTGTCAATTGTACGTTCAGAGCTGTCATCTATATTTCTAAAGCAATATTAATTTAAAATGCAAGCTGCGCTTACTTATCTTAAATGTCTCAACTGGCACGAACAGTTGATATGACCACAGACATGAATGGTTGGAAGTTCCTCATTCTTGATATGAGCACTTAGCTCCAGTTTATGATATATCACATCAAGACAACATCAAATGTGCAGCATCCTTCTTATTTCCAAGCTGAGTAAACAGACAAGAATTTATTCCTTTAATTAGATAGATATATATGTATGCAGACATAGCTACATACTTAGATATACACACATAAGAGGAAGGCAGAAGCAGATGCCTCTGGAGGAGGCAGCACAATATTTTTAGTGGTTTACCACATCCCAGGACAAGATGATATGTAATTCAAAGCATTGTCACAAATCATAGAATTTCATTACTAAATAACTTCCTTTACCCCCACTAATACACGAAACAGATTATTCCTATTGTGTAGAATAAAAGATATGTCATATGTGAATAATTTGAACATTTGAAAAGTTTGATATTATAATCCTGAAGTTCAGTTTGACGAAAGTAAACACTAAACCATTCCAAAATCACTGTAAAGTGTATTCACTTTTTAGGTCCCAAGTATAGCAGTGAGTTGCAAGTCAACTTAATTCTGTGCTGCAGAACAAAGAGTAATTTCTGCTGAAAACTTCTCAATGGATATGTAGATGAGAGATGAGATGCCATATTGCTGAAATATTCAGAAGCTGATACCCATACCAAGAGAAATTCTGTAATGTAAAACATATCATTGCCTTATTTTATTTTTTTTTTTAATTTCTTGCTCTGGGGTTTATCCCTCAATAAATTGCCTCCTTGACTGTTGGCTTCTGGAAAATCCTTTGGTCTGCTTGGCTTCCCAGCTGCATAGGCTATTCCCAGTCTCTCAGACACAAATAAAAAGAGTTGCCTGTAGCTCTACCTAGACTGATTGGCACATATGGCAATTGATTAACTACTAGTGACATTGGGGGACCATCATGAAATACAGCCTTTTTCCTAAGTTCCTAATGAAATGATGGACTCTCCCCTTCAGGGCAGAATCATCCATTAGGCCCATGTGGTCTGAGCTGAAGGCTCTGTATCCCACGTAGCAGTGTAATAACCTTCTTACAAAGCAGTAACAGAGACTTCTGTGTGAGACTAACAACTTAGACAAATGTCCTGCTTTGTCTTGCTTACAAGAGCAATTTGGAAATGGTTGTATTGTTGACAGCTGTCTACCTTCCTTCTAACACTTCTGCTTCTCCCCTTAAATTTCTCAGTGCTCAATTGTTCTGCCCACCAAAAGTGATGTCACAATGGGAACACTTTCTGCTTCTGTAGTATCTTCTCTCACAATTTTGTATGATGCCTTATGAAACGCAGTGGTCCTAGCATTGCAGTGTGCTAGCATGCTCAGCCCAGAAAGCAGCAGAAGCAAAGAGAAATTCACTGACTGGTTGTGCAGGCAGAAAAACTAAATAGGGATTCATAATTGAAAATACTAGGTGGAAGTTATTTGAAAGTGACTGCTGGAAATTTCCACATATCCTCTGAGGTGTAATTGTCACTCTGCAAGAACTCCTAGTCTCTTGCAAACTGGATAAAATTGGTTATGTAAAATTTTGAGTGTCAATGCCTAACACAGTCAACGGATACATGCCAGAAACTGAAAAGATATGGAGGAAAGTAAGGTTAAGGAGATCTCACACATTAATACATCAGCTTAGAACTTCCATTGATTTGCATCCTGTGAGAGTGAAAACCATCTTCTTTGTAAACAACTGAGTAAGTATTTTGAAGATATTCAGGAAGCCGTATAGTGATACATCAGATAAAACCAGTCTGTAATAATGCCAGCTTATGATGGTTTTCTCTGCTTTGGGTTTTTTTTGTTTGTTTTTTTTTGTGTTTTTTTTTTTTTTTTATTGATTTTACTTTTTCTGAAGGCCTAGGAAAAGATTTTTTTACTTCAAATATCTCAGGTTTTTTTTGGTTTTTTTTTTTTTTCCAGCAACAAGTGTGATAAAATCTCTATTTGTCAAGTTTTTGTTCTTTAAAAATAAGCATCTGGCAGTGGACTATTGAGGTCTGTTCCATTCTCTTTTTCCATTTGTGCTGCCTATGTGATCTATGTATTGTCTATATGGGAACTTCTCAAGTCTGACAATTGATGGACAATATAGTCAGAGGTTGCTGAAGTGGTGGATTTTTCATTCAGCATCACTACAAGTACAGGCAACAGGATGGACTTGCCTTCCACATTTCTGAATACATTACTGTAAAGAGAAAAAGGAGTGAAGATGTCACCACTTCCATCCGCTGAAACCTGTAGAATTGTGATTATATTCTGATAGTGGTACAGTAGAGGTAGATTTCTGAAACTGGGCCTGAGAAAAGGTGAAAACATTTGTCAGGCCTTAATACTGCACTCTTAAAAATGCAGGTCAGTATTCCCTGAATTTTTAAGGACTTCTAATTTTTTGCAAAGTATCCATAACAACAAGCAGTCCTTCTGGTCCTATCTAGTCCTGCTTTCTATAAACTATATTTTCTTTGAAAAAATGGGAAGTGGTTTGAGTACCGGGAAGAACGTTTGCATTAATATGTCTAAATGTAGTCAAGGCAGTTATCATTCCACATTTTATCTTGAAGTATTACTGTTCTGTCAACATAAAAACTTCTTCAATTAATTCATCACCATTTTTTTCTCTTGTTTGAAGACAAATCTAAATGAAATTCATCTTAATTAACCCTGGCTCTTTATAACTTAGGAATGAAATCTCAGCCTTTCAACAGTGACACAAATGTCTTGTTTGCTTAGATTCTTAGACATTTAACTAACACCCTTATTTCAGTCATTTATGCATATTCAAGGGCCTCTGTCATCATTAAATCCTTAAAAATTTATCTCTTCCTTGACACTCCTATCCTTGTATGCCAGAGGTCAAGGCCCATGAAACCATCCCTGTCCCTCTGCACATATCCATGTGTGCAAATTGGACCAAGATTTTACCCTCTAATAATCCAAGTTCACCTTCACATTCATATAGAAAAAATCCAAAGGCTTCCCTTCAAAATACTGATGTTGCTGCTGTTGGGTGTTGTCCTACTCATAGACAGAGGGTGATGCAGGGAAAAGTCTGAGTTAGTTAAGGATGATCCTGCCCTCTGCAATTCTCATCCCAGACTTCCCACTGTCACAAACTGGAAATACACTCCCGGAATATATAGATGACTTTTATTTTTTCAGTAACATCCCACCATACGTGGAGGCTGGGTGTATAAGTCAGTACTTTTGTGAATACCAACTTGTGAGCTTATGCTGCATTTTCCTGTTTGGTGTGCAATTAAGACAAAATCTTCTTCGTAACTGGGCGGAATGTAGAGAACATCTTGGAGGATATTTCCCAGAGTAGATCTGCTTTGCTGAAAATCAGAAAGGTAGTACACAAATCCATATCAGAATTTTTATTCTTGCTTACTCAAAACAGTTGTATACATATTGAAGGAAATAAAAGTATTTCTGTGAGAGTTTCCATAGAGTTCAGTGGTGTCAAGATTTTTCAAGTAAACATGTATTGCAAAAGGCAGACTTTGAGAGATTAGCACTGCTCTGGATACGTTAATTTTCCTCCTAACAAGGACACCAATCTCTTTCAAGAGTCCTAATTGTTCCTACTCAGAAGCCATTAAAAATTGTATATTGTATTATATTGAGAGTTCATCTAATTTAAATGTGAAAACTTTGTAAACATTGGTATTATATTATGTTCCATTCATTCATTTGATCCTCTAGTACATTAGAGGGGGAAAATATACATGCATTGAATTCTTGAGATTTTATTTTAAGGGCTGCTTTAATGAATTCTTAATTACATTATTCAAAAGGTCCATTATTCAGCATTCATCTCACTTCTAAATGAAAGTCTTTACCTGACATGTGAATGAAATGAGTCTAAATGCTTTCCATGCCACCTAGGGATTCGTAATAGACTTCTTGCTGAACGGCAGCAGCTGGTTTTCTTTCTGGTTTAAATTTTTGTGGATTATTTGCAGAGATGGACAGGTATGAAATATTCGTCTTTCCCAAGCATCAGTAAACCCTCCAGTCTCACCAGATGTAATGCAGCCCCAGTGCTTGAGACAGATGAAAGAGATAAAATCTGGAGAGAAAAATATTTATAACATTTCTAAGGTTTTCAAATATACTGTATAGTTCTCAACAATTCTATTTTGTATGGAAAAGACCCCTTATTAAAGATTTTCTTTTTTTTTTATGGTTCACTCTGAAAAAGTTTGGTGAACATTATAAAAAAACTTGAGATCGGGTTTTTAAAAGCGGTAAGTTGATATTTTTTCTCATTCCCCATCCATTTCAGTAGGACTAATATCTGATATTAAATTTGGAAAAGAGCTTAACAGCTCAAAATACTCGAGCAGTTCAGGCAGCAACTTGAAATGAGTACATGCATGGCTGGTCAGGACTGTACTGCCATTACACACATTGGGCCAAATTCCTCCATGCCTCAGCCCATATTTGAGCCCAGTCAACAACTGTATCATATGCAAGGGCAATTTACTCTGGAATAAATCAGTATAATAGAGCACTACCCATCTGCTAGAAGGTCTGAGGTAGTTTAAACAGATAAAATTATATAGTTATATTCAGAGCCCTGATAACATCTTTCTTTAAGATTTACCTATTGGCATCACTGAGAGTTCTGCCTACATAAGGACTGCAGATTTTCCGAAATTGTCTGAAAAAAAATCTTACTAGCCTGAAAAAAATAATCTTTCTATAATTTTGTCAGAAAAAAATTAAAATGTAACATTAATACTAGGGAAATATGCATACTGTACACCTGTAATTTATTATTTTCCTACTTGCTAATTCTAAATATTAAAAAAATATTTCTAATGGAAAGAACATTTCTTAGATCATTGACATTATCATTGACTAGATACCACAGTACTATCTCAATTCCTTGTGAAAGTTTTAAAACATTCATTTCCCAAAAGTTGAGATTGTCTGTTTCACTTGTACTAAAAAGATAACAAACTTTCTTATTCCAGATTAAAATACCATAGATAAATTATTGTATACATTCTACTTTTGGCTCTCTATGTTTTCTAGAACCACTTTAGCAAAAGGATCCATATTAAAGTTTTTTTAGTGTTTTTGCAGTCGTTAGATCAACTTTTAAAGTACATTTCTCAAATTATATTTTATTTTTCATATATATAGATGTAGCTTTGCTAGGGTCAAGTAATTATGATATATCATGACCTTTCCCCCTACCTGATTATGAAAAAGACTGTGAAATGTAATACGCTGCTTTAAATCCAAACCATAATTTAGGGCTCAGTACTGGAAGGTACTGAGCACATCTCATGAAGTGCCCAGGACTGCCAATTCCCACTGGCTGTCTTGCTTATCACTGAGCAGGACTGTGTCAATAATACAAAACAGCAGTTTGTGTGGTATGGCCAGGCATTGGTTAATGAAGCAGTGGCACTACTAAGCAGGCTGAACCACCTACTGATAAAAAAGTAACATTTTAGAATGCCTAAGAAATCTCTGATGAAAAAACACATTTTCTGCTCTTCTGATGGGCAAAATATATGAGTGATGCTCACAGGGACTCCCATTCACCCAAGCCTAAAGCTGCCCTCTCTAAGAGTGATTGAAGTGCACCCTTGAGGAGCCACATCACATTGTGCAGAAGAGATATTCCAGCACTGACCAACAATTAGCCTTTGAAGCCGACTTCTCAATGAAGTACTGGACTTGTCCTGGTTAAACTGAAAACCACATAAGTAGTCATGTGGAAAATAATAATGAAATTAAACAAATGCATCCAGTGGCACTTATGATGGATTAAAGTATGTCTATTAAGTCACCATTGTCAGATTTGCTTACCCGGCCAATTTTCTCTTTTTTGTTTTTTCTGCTGTAGATCCCATTTACCCATCTAACAGCTCAGTTTATTTTTATGCACATCATTAAGGAAAATGAAATCTCAAATTATCTTGAAAGGCTCTGGAATGAGACATATCTAATTATCAAAATATTTAAAATGTTAGTAACTTCTCAAGGGTGATAAGTATTCCCCAAAAGACAGACACAAGAAACATACTCTAAGCTTCCATGCATGCTAGGTACACTTAAAGATGAAAAACTGACACTTCTGCAAAGCATCAGACCAGGCAAAAATCTCCATAATCACACTAAATTCTATCAGCTCAATGGAAATCAGCTGGGGCTCCTGTCTACCCATAATACTTAGGCTGCAGCCTATTGTGTCTCTCAGTCTTTAACATATCTACTTCAAAAATGCTTTGGTAAATTTTGGAAAACTTGAAAGCAAGGAAAAATTAAGCACAAGATCCACAAAGGCACCACAGAACACTTAAGTAGGGACACAGTATCTAAAAATGCAAGATTCATAGTACAAACAAGGGAAAAAATAAAGCTGAGCATGACTTCAGTAAGTATAAGTGCAAAAAGATATTTTTAAATACTTGGAAACATGTTTTATACAATTGCCGTCAAAATTCTTACAAATAGGCAGCTCTGATTGTATTTCTGGAGCCATGTCACAGTGCAAAACCACTTATTTTGATTAGGAACATAAAAAACTTGTTTTCAACTTCCCAATATATAATTTGTGTAGAAGCTAAAGGGTAACTTTGAGTGCTTAAAGAATACAAAGAGGAATTCCTTTTGAAATTATGATCTTCCTAAGTTTTATATTAATTACTATGTGATCATAGTTCTGAGTCAAATATCTATTAGCTTTTCAGTAACACGTATCAATAAGATTGTCAGTGCTTTGAAAGCTTATATGTACAAAGAAAATAAATAATTGACATCTTTCCATTCTTTTATGATGTCTAGGAAAGAGGAGCTGATGAGATATTCCATTAGATATTTTTTAGTATTCTGATTTTTTAAGAGATTTTTTTTTAGATTTATTTTTCTATATTTCCTGTATGTAAGGTTACAAAGAAAGTTGGTGATGTTCATGAAGTAGGATGTGGTTGTGTCTAAGACATTCCAGGAGAAAATGTTTCCTGTTTTCAGTCATTTCTAAAATCCATAATAATAGATTTTACTCGTTTCCCACTCCTTCAACTTTTCGTTTAAGAAATTAAGTCCATTCATATGGATACCCTTGTTGGGTAGATAGAAGATATGGGTGGTCCTTCTATCAATCAAAATTGTAATTACATTTCCCAATTGTCTCTGAAATTTTATTCAAAAATTATTATGACTCCTAGGCATTACATATAAAATGGTTGTTTTTATTGTTAATGATAATATTAATGGGACTTTGGACCCGGTGTATGAGATCCTATACGGTCTTTTCTTCACTTCTTCGTTTCCCCTCTGTCTTTTGAGAGTTTTTTTTAAATTATTTTAGGGTGGTTCTGTGGACTAGTGCTAAAATAGGCTGTATAAAACTCACAATAAATTGTCACCCATTCTTTCAGAATTCACAGCACATATGTTATCCTGACTTCTTTGCAAAAGGTTTGAGGTACAGCTATATAATGCAGAAATAATTCTTTATTAACCAGGCTCTCTGACTGCACTAATAATTGTAAACGTGAGCAAAAAGAACTTAAGAATAATCACTTGATATGATAAAGGATAGTTCTTTTACTATTATCATGTATAATTTCCCGTCTTCCCTGTAAAAAGAAGAAATTTATAGCCATTTCCTGCATGTACCTATTTCATTTCAGTTTGACAATCCTCAGCTTTTTTTTACTTCAGCATTGCCTTTGTCACTGGAACTGAACATTTGAAACTTATTTCTAATTTGATAAAATATACATATGGCATTAGTATGCTAGAGGTAAAATGTACTAACATCAAAGTCTGCACAGCTCACATTAGAATGATTTTAAACAGGCATTATATATTTATTTAACAGGGAAAGAGGGAAGTCTCTTAGAAGTGGTATAAAGGTTCTTAATTTTACAAAATGTTTCAGTAAAACAATTTAATTAATCTTCTTACCATTAATTTCACTTCAGTTAAGCAACTTAAAAACAGCTGTCATGTGTTTACCAGTTTGGGTACGGTTGCAAAACAGGTGCATTGTTGCTCTGCAACCCTGAAGGAGTTAAAGGACATATATGCTTATGATATCTTTAAACTTTCAACTTAGAATTATTGATGGATGTAAAGCTACTCACTCAAAATCATCTAACCTTCTTAACTGGTTAAAAGAGTTTAATCCTCTCAGTTATTAGGAGACCTTTGAAGTGAAACAGTGAAATTCACTCCTTCTGCCTGTTTTGAAAATTTTCATTGAGTGTAGACTAAATCACAGGGAAGTTTCGGCTGCAGCAGTTCATCTGCAGAGTAAGCTGTGGATTACTTAGTTGAACTTTGCTCCAGTCAAGACTTTGTAGTGCTTATAAATCTTGAATCCATCTAAGTTCACCTTAAATTAGCCTTTCAAAAACAATCTCTAAACTTCAAGTGTCTGCTTGGTGGCTTCTGGCTAAATGCCATGCAGAAGCTGAGACACTGATTAATTGTCTTTGTTTCTTAAAAACACCTCATATTTTATTAAAAATAAAATATCATGGAATACACACTTTTGCCTTTCACTTCATAAAACAACAGTGTCATTGGGTTCTATGCACACCATTGGCAAAATACATTGCATTTTATAAATTAAATGGAAGAGGAACTTGAAAGCTTTATAAGTCCTGAAAGCCTTATTGCACAATAATGCCACTACTGCATGAACAGCCTGGGATGGGGCCAAACAAGCATGCCAAGATACAAGAGATTTTTCAATTTTCCGGCAAATAGAAACAAATTCTGGTTTCAGAAGGTGCACTCGACAAACACTTCTCAATGTGTTTCTGATTTGTGGTAAGAATGTTTTTACTGCTGGTGCCCTGTACTTTTGAGACGTTTATTTCCTAAAAGAAAGATTCCATTCTATAAACCTCAACTGTCTGTTTTTTCAAAGCAATTTAAAATCAAACACACAAATAAAATTTTTAACATATGGAAGCCTTCGTACAGAGACTTACGTATTCCAAGTTAAAATTGTTTTATAAACTGTAATGCTTTGCAGATGAAAACACTGAGAAGATGACTGTTTTTAGCAGTAATGCTTTTTGACAGCGTTAAACC